TCCCTGTGGATGTGGCCCTTGGGGACACGGATCCGTGCTGGCCTTGGCAGTGCTGGGAATGGTTGGATTCTGTCATCTCCAAGGGTTTTTCCAACCTCAAGTATCCCTAAGGATTCTGTGCCGTCCTGGCACTGTCCCAGTTCTCCACAATTCCTTAAAGGAATTTTCAGGAGGTGGAGAGTCCCCAATTCCCAGGGACCAAGGGACAGAAGGAGAGGGAACGGCCTCCAGCTGTGTCAGGGGAGGCTCAGGTGGGATATTAGGAACAATTCCCGCATGGAAAGGGCTGTCAGGCAGTGGAATGAACTTCCCAGGGCAGGGCTGGAGTCGCCATTCCCGGAGGGATTTCAGATCCCTGTGGATGTGGCCCTTGGGGACACGGATCCGTGCTGGCCTTGGAGGTGCTGGGAATGGTTGGATTCCGTGATCCCGGAGGGATTTTCCAACCTGAACCATCCCTAAGGATTCTGTGCCATCCCGGCGCTGTCCCAGCTCTCCACAATCCCCTGGAAGGAATTTTCAGGAAGTTCCCCGATTCCCTGTATCCGCAGGCTCCGGACGAGGCGGCGCTGGCGGCGCTGGCCCAGACCCTGCGGCAGCACCGCATCGACCACCGCGTGTGGACGGAGCATCCCGAGGACATTCCCACCTGCCTGGCCCTCCGGCCTTATCCCAAGGATCAGGTGCACCAGCACCTGAAGGGGCTGAAGCTGCTCAAGTGATCCGACTTTGTCCCGGAAGCCCCGTTATTCCGGCCGGGATTTGGAATCCCGGCGGATGCGGCGCTTGGGGCCGTGGCTCCGAGGTTGGATTCCGTGATTCCAAAGGTCTTTTCCAAGCTAAAGGACTCCGTGTGTTACATTAAAGCTGGGAATCTCCCCCCTTTGGAATTGTCTCGGGGGGTTTTTAGGGATGAGTTTTCCAACCCTTGAGCTTCCCCGTGTGTCCATCCCGAGCCGGCCTGGAGCTGAGGGAGGGCAGGGATAGGGTGGGAGATTGGGAAGGAATTCCTGGCTGGGAGGGTGGGGAGGGGCTGGGCTGGAATTCCCAGAGAAGCTGTGGCTGCCCCTGGATCCCTGGGAGTGTCCAAGGCCGGGTTGGAGCCACCTGGGATAGCGGGAGGTGTTGGGGTTGGAATGGGGTGGGATTTATGATCCTTTCCCACACCGGATCCATGAGGACACCTGGAGAAGGGAAGGATCCTGGGAGAGCTTGGAGCACATTCCAGAGCCTAAAGAGGCTCCAGGAGAGCGGGAGAGGGATTTGGGATCAGGGTCTGGAATGACAGGCCCCAGGGAATGGATCCCAGTGGGAAAGGGGAGATTTGGGGGGGAGATTGGGA